CGGCCAGCCATCGCCGTCCCCGGCTCATGGGGTAGGGCTCCAGAGCGGGGGAGGGCGCTCCCACAGCAACCAAACCCATGAGAAGCGGCGCGTCGGCATACGACTCCAGTTTATCCAGTTTATGGAAAGCTTTTGATTGTGAGCAAGGTTGTAGTTTTTTGCAGGGGGGGGGGGGTGGCTCAAGTCCCTGAACTTCGGATAGGGAGCTAGCCAAATTAGGGGCCAAACCCGATTTTTAATGTATTTTTTTAATGTTCAGTGTAGGTTTTAGTCAGAGCGTAGTTCGCTGTTCCCCTCCCCCCCCCCCCCCACTTAGCTTGCGAAATTACGCCCTCGGCGTCTATTGACTGCAACTAACAAGTAGCTACCAGACTGTAAGCTATTGATTTCAGACTGGTTATAGGACGGTACACCACACCGCAGGGTCAAGTGCTCCGTAATGCAGCTGTCTTTGTGTAACATTCGGCACAGCCCAATCGATGCAATGTCTTGTTGAACACTGAATGTGTTGGTTGAATGTTAATGGACCAGGTTGAATGGACTAGGTAAACCAATATTCCCACCCTAGATCTGGATGCATTTCACACTATGGTCACACGAACGTCAGCTATGAACCGCCGAAGGCTATAGCTGTTGAAATCTCAGGAGGTTTCAACAGCTCTACAGACATTCCTGGCAGCACTGTTGGAATTTCTGGACGCTCATTTTGTTCTTTCATCGTGGATTACCAGCCACCTCACGAGGAGCACTGACGGGTGCGTAACTCTGAAACACTTGTCCTACCTTTTCTCTTCTTTCCCACCTTAAGTGCTGCACCCAGACGCATAGGGTTGTGAATGTCCTCTACATATTGTTTTGATTTTTCTATCGGTTTTCACTACCGCTTATACTTGAGTGCCGTTACCGTGAGCTTTTTTAGCCGATTCATGGTTATCCATGTCTTTTCCGCGGATTTAACTTCTAGTCAATAAGGACCATACAGATTGATTAACAATCATTTTTGGCGTAGATCCAAAGAAACTTTCTACATGTTCTTGTTCAGTTAGAATTCCTTTCGCAGAGAGAGCACTCAGTGCGTGCTGCAATGAATGCTAAGACTTGGCTTTAGCGTTAGCCCTGCCGGCGAAAGCATCGATGCCTTCAGATGCGGCAGCGCTTGACGTGTTACTCTGAAATATGCCAGTGTTTGGGGTACAGCGTAAAGGCGATCTCGGCCCATCAAACCATCGCGAGAGTGGCGTCATTCCCGTCGTCCTGCGTCTGTCGTGGCCGAAAGAAGGGT